CATCATTATTATTAGTAGTAGTACCTTACTTAGACTGCACTGTAATAGCAACTTCACCTGTTTGTAATTTTATAATTGATTCGACATTTACATTATACACCCTATATTCATTGAATTTTAATCAGTACATCGTTTATTTCGCTTACGATGATAATTTCTTGCTAATTCATGAATAATTGTTACCAAAAAGTAACATACCATCAATATTACAAATTTGTCAAACAACCATGAAATTGTTGTTGCTCCATCCTAAAAACAAAGTAGAAATTTAAAAATATATGCATGCATTATTATATAGAAAGAGACATTTAAGATCATACCATTGATGTCTTGTCATGCAACTTTTTTTTTTGTTCAATAAGGTATTTTTTCAATGGTTCTTGAAATTTAGAACCTATAAATGGTACAATTGCAAGCAATTTTATAAATTTATCTAGAAGTTCTTCATTAAAAGCTATAATCACTGCAAGTTGTTGAATATGCATTTTTATAATCGCCTTCCCTATAAGTGTAGCTCCAAAAAATGTCCAGAAAGGAATTAAATAATGACCACATGTCAAACCAGCAAGATCAAATAATGGATTAGGAATCTAAAAAATATTTTTTGTAAATATTAATTATAAAAAAATAATTTGAACATATATTTATTATTGAGTTTATATATTGATGATAATATATATATATTTTATGAAATAATTTACTTACTGAAGCACAGGCAAGGATTCCCCAAAATCCCGCTTTTTGTACAAAGTGTTTCATAGTTAATTTTAGCCGAATTAATAATGATATATTTTCACCATTTTCTAAAGCTTCTAAAGCTTCTAATTCTTTTAAATCTTCTTGATCAAATTCTTCTGTCCTATTATTTTGTCTACTGGTCCGAGCAGCTCTAGCCATAAAATATGGTGGTAGTTCACCAAGTGCAGTACCAGCACCCCAAAGCATAGCCTCTACCCGTACTTTTCTCATAATATTTAATATACCTGCTGTCCACATTGGATCAATTGTTGTGGGACATATTATTTGATCAGGATATGGTGGTTCAGGAAAATTAAGAGCACCGCATTCATATGCAGCCATAGTAACAGCTGCTATATGTGGTCCTAAATAGAGTACAAAAGTATGTAAGCCTGTTCCAAGACCTACACTGGAAAGAACACCTAAACCTATCCAATATAACCACCAAATCACTTTTGTTTCCCATGCTTTTAATATCTGTAAATATAAAAATATTGTATCCTTTAAAGACAAACATTATATAAAATAAAAATAAGAAGATACACAATTTCAACTTGCTTTTATATTTTCAACTTTAATTGTATATAATAATAATTAAATATAATTACATAAAAATTTATATCTTTCAATAATCTTATTTATATGTATGTGTGTACAATTTTATTTGTATATATATTGATGTTTCAAAATTTACCTGTTGATGTGGACCAGAAATTCTGCTTAATATCAGAAATAATATTATTATTGAAATTATGCTCCATACTGTCTTTTTATAATGTAATGCCTTTTTTCCTAGTCTAACTATATTACTAAAAAGTTCCCGGAAAAAATAATTCAATGTAGTAATTGGATGTTGCCATAATGTTAAATGTTCAGAATCTACATATAATTCAGTATTCAAATTATTTAAATCTCCTGAAAATGGTGTAGATTTTTTTTCTTCCACATTCTGTTGAGCACCATTAACAGGTTTTGAATCTTTCACACGTCGAATGGCAGTGGTATTTTCCAACATGATACTTCCTCACTGATTATTCTGAAAAAATTTTTTAAATTTACACTTATTTAATAAATAAAACAATAAAAAACATATATAATATGTTAAAAATAAATAGAATATAGTTATATCACATACGATGTTACAATAGTAATCTTTATTATATCTTCAATATTAATTTAATAAAACATTTTATCAATTGATGCACAATGTTAATAAATTTAAATTAATACAAAAATAAAAAATATCAAATTAATTAATATACAATAATCTAAAACAATATTATATTAAAACAATTATACATTTAAAAAAAACATAAGTAAGATATTGATAAAATATATTTTAAATATAAATTAAATAAAATTAATAACATTAAATCTAATTATATTAATGAATTTTAATAATAAAATTAATAAAAATGTTATTAACAATTTTTAATAGTCAATTAAATAATAAATAATATACAAAATAATGATTATTTTTTATAATTATTATCTTTATTATACATATATTTATAATTGAATTTCATATGTAAAAAATAAAAAATAATTTATAAAAAAATTATAAAAAATTATAAATAGAAGAATATATATTTAAAAAAGGAATTCTTATTATAAAATATAATTCTAAAAACTTCTTCACATAAATTAATTTCAACAAAAAAAACTTTTCATATAAAATCTTCATTGTATAATTTAAGAAGATTCTTTATAAGAACATTAAAATTGATATTTATACATAATATTAAAATTGATTTTTATTATTAATAGATTAGTATAGTTATTTACTTATTATGATTCATATTATATATATAATTTTTCCAAAACATTTATTATGTATAAGAAGTTAATTTAATTATATAATATTAGATTAATAATTTTACACATAAATTAAATATGATTTAAATTTGTGTAATAATAAACAGCATACTGTATATGAATACATTCTATACCATATTTGCTCTGTTTCCTGAAATTTGCAGGTGATGTTTTAGTAAGCCTTTAAATTGTTTGTGATAATTCATAAAAGTGGCATCATTGTAGAATTCATTAAGCTTCTGTTATCCATATAAAAAATTCTGTACAAAACTGGTAACAATTACATTGGAGATAATACTCATCTTTCGATCTACTTTCCTTTATAAAAAGCTGTTAAACTGTATCAATCATTTTACATCATTAATTACTAATACTGTTACTAATACTAATACTGTTGTAAACATAAAAAATTTTAATAATCATTTCCATTTCAACATAGATTATTAATCATTTTTATAATATAAACTACAAATATTAATTTTAAAATAATAAAAATGTATTAAATATATATAGTGAATTCTGTAATTTGTGTCATATCATATAAAAAAAATACATAATTTTAATAAATAAGTATAATTATATAATAATTACGATTATTAATTAATAATTAACGATTTTTTTTATATCTACTATTTATTCTATTCTATTATCAAAAAATTAAATATTTATTGAAATATTAAGTTACATGTTTTAAAACAACAAATATATACTATATGAAATAAATGTAAATACAAATATGACACACTATAGATATGTATATATATCCAATATATATAATTATCTTTAATATTATTTTTTATTCAATATAAATAAAATTTATTTGACATTATATTATTTTGAAAAACAATTTAAATACAAACAATTATTTGCAACATACTTCATTTGCATATAATTTACATAGTAATAGAAATACAAATAACTATTTACAACTATTTACAACTATTATAAATTATAAATGATCTCAATGTTTTAGATATACTATAGTAGTATATAGTTTAGTTTATTTTTTAATATATATATATAAGCCATACATACCATATAATTTACAAAATAACATGTATGTATAAATATCAAACAATGACATCATTATCTTTATATAAAATAATATACTTACTTAAAATAAATTACAGTAAAAAAATATATACAAAAATATATATATACATATTTATAAAAATATTTATAAAAATATATATATATAAAATATATATATTATACTTATATCTAAAAATTGATAAAAATTATAAATATATATGCAATAAATTAAAATTATAATATAAT